GAAACCCCTGCTGAAAGCAGACTGGCCTCCATGGGCTGGCTGCAGCCAGGAGGCTGCAAACAGCTGCTCCAGGCTCCAACATGTCAGCACTCCGGCACCTTCCAAGGTAGACGTGTTTTTTTCGGCACTCTGGCCAAAAAACGTTGCCTACCCCTGTTGTAACCTATGACTCATACCTACCCCTCCTATGTAACTTGGTTCCTGAATGAATGGGGGTGAATGAGGGTGCTTGAGAGACAATGACAGTAAGTCTAAAAATAGCTCCCTCTGAATGACCGAACCATCAAAACCAATGCCTGGACCAACGACCCAGCCCTTGGGACCACCCTCAGCATTCAAGAAACAAAAGATGAGGCAACCCACCATTGTGCCAAGGCTGCACATGCTCAGTAAGAACACCTGGAACCCTCTGGAACAGGACTGACATTGCCTGGATATGCCCTCCCCAGAGGAGAAAAGAGGTAGTCTGCCCCATAAAAAGGGGTAGTGAAAACTGACGCCTTGGGACGACCTCTCCATCTGAAACAGCACCATGCCACACCACCTATCCACCCAGAGGCCCTGCTGGCGACCCTCCTCGGGACAACACCTGCTGGACAAAGACCCCTTTCCAGCCTGGATAGGTAGCTATCACCCCCACCTTCCCTTCAACCAAGGACTTGGACTCTGTTTCTCTTCCCTGCCTGGACTCCAGCCCTTCCACCTAGTCTCTTTCTCCTGCTGCCATTGTGAGTGCTTGTGTGTGTGTGTGTGGGAACCAATAACTTCATGGTGCTGTGTAATGTGTTGTCTGTTTAATAACCCTGTTATTTTGAAACCCTGAGTTGGGTTTTTGTTGGTTTCCTGAATGTTTCCCCCTTGCCACCACTTATCTGCCCCCTGATCTCCTAGCTGTCTGCCTCAGTTTCCAGTCCCGAGCTCCCAGATTTCTGCCTCGGTTTCCAGCCCCAAGGTCCCAGCTTTCTGCCTCTCTGTTTTTCCTGGCTGTCTCCTCTTTGCCACTGGGCTTTTCCCCTTGCCCCAGGGACCTTGAGTAACCCTGCAGCCACTTGACCTTAAGTAACTCCAAGCCTCAGTTCCTCAGCCAGCTTCTCTCTTGTCTACCGGTTCTAATTCCGGTTCCGGCAACTTTCACTCCATACACTTTCTCTCTCACCTTAACCTTCCCCCAGGTATCCCAGTACCCCAAACACACACAATCACACCGTACCATCCAAGTTAGGAACTCACCTGTATGTATGTGTAAATGGGTGGTTTGTGTGCGAACTGGTGAATACACACACACACACACATATATATATGTCATTGTGTGCATGATATACAAATTAGTGATCCATATATGTGTACTGAGTGTGTGGGTATTGACAACTGATTGTTGTCTAATTTTCAGTGTGTATAGTGTGTATGAGCTTGAATTGGTAATAGGTGTGTATGTGCCTCAGCTGGTAATTTTGGATGTGTATGTGCCTGAGTTGGTAGTGCGTGTGTGTGCGCGCGCCTGGTGGAGGTGTATGCACCTAGAGTGTGTGTGTGCACCTAATTGATTTTTGTGTGTGTGTATGTGCAATTGTACACTATGGCCTCCTGTCAACAGCACGATATTGAGATCCTGAGGGTTGGCCTGACCCCACAGGGCAACAGAATAATAAATGCACAGATATTTATCACATAACTAGAGCTTTGCAAATGTTAAACAAGCTTTCTGACGTGCTTATTGTCTCGGACGGCCAGAGCCGACTCGAGTTGAGTTAGAAATTGCTCCTACGTTAGGGCGGGCTGGTGAATGGAGAGGCAGACACAACTTATCGGTTGCAAAAAACTTTACTCACGCCGCTTTCAATCACGACGCAGGTGGACCGGTTGTCTGAACAACCACACGAGTTGTTCCAGCTGGCGGGGCCCAAGCCAGTTAATCCGTCCGCAATTTGAAGCCGGCGGGGGAAGGGAGATGTCTGCGCTCGGTGACGGGAAGAAATATCAATAGGTGATCAGTCTATCAATCGGCAGCCGCAAGTCAGATCACTTCAGAGGCACTCTGCAGCATGCTCAAAGTTCTTCGACTTGGGCGGAAGTCGTGCAGAATTTTAAACGGCCAGCGAGCCAATTACTAGCCGCCACGTGTGAATAATTTAGAACTGGCCAATAGCGGGACACAAATTTGCATTCGAATAGCGGGAACTCTTTGCACCGTGCATTTCTGTGCTGCAAAGAAGAAATGCACCCTGCAAAGAAGGTTGCAAATTGGCGGGAACTCTCTTGCACCGAGGTTTCTTTGTGCAGCAAAACCCTCGCTGTGCAAGAGGCTCTCATGTGGCAAGAAAATCCCACTGTGCCGAGGCACCAAAAATCACTGGGTTGTGACACTTATGAGATAGGAAAGTAGTATTTCTATTTTACAGTGGAGGCTGGTTTGTGATAGCACTAAGCTATCTATAAATTCCCAAGAAACATGGCTTCTGGAGGATATCCTTTCTCTCACTTTCCCCGATGGAGAATAGCAATAAGGGATAGTTTGAGAGTGCAGACACACACCCTTTAATTAAGTAACTTGACTTTACTATGTAGTGAAAGTAGAGCAGTAGACACATGACACACAGCCCTTCTACAAAGTCAATCACTCAAGTCCATGGTAAAATTATGCCTTGAAAAATGTGCAGTGACTTTTTACTGTGTGGGAATTTACTGGGTAGGATGTATTGTGGGTTTGCTCTCTGGGCATTTGTACATGACACGGGGGTTTAATTCTCCCTAAATTTAAAAAAACACCGCTTCAATTTAAGGCGAAATAAACCCCTGTGTTGTGAACACCTGTGTCGGAGTTTAATCCTTACCTGCCTCTCCAGCGGCAGGGAGGGGAGGGCGAGCTGCTGGTGGGCAGATTGGTCCCTGACCTGTGGGGGAAGGGGATTGGTGCTTCTCTCCGCAGCAGTGGCAGCCTCCCCTTAGGCAGTACCTGCGCATAGGCACCCAGCTTGGGCAGTCCCAGGGGGCACTGCAGCCACGAAGGGAAAACCAGGGCCCTGCACAGCTCAGGCAGGAAAGCAGGCTCTGGGGAAGGAGATCAGGCTCCCTGCTTTTTTTTTTCTTCTCCCTTCTGTGGAGCCTGCCTGCATGGTCTGCTGCCGGGCTGCTGGTACAGTCTGCCTGCACAGCCACTAAGCCACGTGGAGCCGAGTGCTTCCCTCCGCAGCTGTAGGGTAGGAAACTAAAACTCCTTGGAGGTGTTTTACTTTGCAGCACCCCAAAATTATTTCCTGTGTCCCAAAGTTATTTAAGGTGCAGTATGCCACCAAATGTGCAAACAGCAATGCCATTAAAGCAGTGAAAAAGGCATTTAACCCACTTTAAAGTGTCATCTACAAACACCCGTAGTTTCATCCTAGGGGAGCCTTTTGCTCAATGCAAACTGGCTTATGCCACCTAGTGGCCAGGCGTTGTAATAATGCCTACTACAGGCACCGCGGGGGGGGGGGGGGTTCTGGTCATGTGTCCACAATTTATAATGGAATAAATTTATTCCTGAGTAAAATCTGGGATGCATTATCTTGGAGTAAATCTGTTGAGTGTATGCAGTTTAAGGCTGAGTTTTGATAACCAGTCAAGAGGGCTGTACAAATTTTGTTAATCCTCATTTTATTCAGGAAAGAAACATATTGAACACTCATTTACTAGATGTTCAATTGTCTGAAGTTTGATACATTCATATTCTAGAGTTGCTTTAAGTCAACACTTAAACATCAGGTTTGCACATCTGCTGTTTGATACTCTGATATGATTAATGATCGCCCACTGCTTCTGTGTGTGGGCCATAATTCAAGGATGGTGTTTGGAAAATGGCCTCAGTTGCGTGTCGAGTGGGGCACTGAGTAGTGACACCAACCCAGACACGCTCGGGGATGCCAAGTGTGAGAGAGGAAAAAAGCGCGACAAGTAGTAGGTGAAGAAAATTCATAAATTTACTTACAAACCAACAAGATGATTAACGAGTTGAATACTATTTACAGTGGCAGGTAGACACAGACGACGTGGTACAGGTAGAAAAACGAACAACTGATGGGTAGCGGCGAGTAACAAGCAAGGTGTAATCGTGAAGGTCGACTGCAGCCGAAAATACTATCAGTACAAGTATGATGCCTAGTTGGGCAACACACAGGGCGTTCCAGATTGCGCGTGGTCTAGCTATAAGCTGTGGTAGCTTATGCTAGGAATCTAGCTAGAGGCCTAGGGGTCTGTCCAGACAAGACAGGTGATCAGGCTGTCTTCCTGAGTTCAGGAGCGTCTGGGGACCCTATGCTGAGGCGCGCAGTCCCCTTTATAGATTCCCTAGCCAATCAGGGTCCCCCCTTGATGGAACATTCTGGAGGCCTCAGCATGCTGGTCCAGCCAGTCACGCTCTAGGGGCAACTTCTGATTGGTTAGGCTACTAGCGATAACGCACTGTCTGCATGATAGTGCAGGTTAAGGTCTCATTCCTCCGCCACTGCATCACCGAATACCAGTCATGGGTAGCCATGTCACTTAATGTCTTAACCAACAATCTGG